AAATATCTCTTTCATTGAGTAGATTCCTAATATAAACAGGGGTGTTACTGTTAAGGGGTCGATATAAAGTAAGAGTCAACCTATCATGTATTCTGCGGTCTTGTAAACAGGGCTGATTAATTTAATCCAATAATCTATCATAAGTGTTGGGAAAGTCATTGAAGATAAAACGGAGACATCTCTCATTAATTTTCTCCAGTTTATCAGCATTCTTTTTGCCGCAATGATTCCAGATGTCAGAACAATTATTAAGACGTGATAACATAAATGCTAGAGAGCCTGATCCTCAGGCTAATGATGTTGAAAGAGATTTCGCAAACACTTTCCAAAGCAAGTACACTGTCTACGAGAAGTCTGGCATTTACCTATTTTGCATCGTAATAACCGTCCGAGAAAATTAAGGCTCCTCAACAACAACTGATGATTATGTTCGTAAAATAATTAAAGAAATCAATAGCCAGTTGCAATGATAGACAAGCTTATCTTCCTTGTTACCCACCCATGCCTCCATCTGAGTGAAAATATAGGACCGCAATGTGCACAATCGTCTTGGCTCAAGGTAAGGAAAAGCCTTTATAACATAACTAAAGTAAAGCGCGCGCTCTGATTGGTAAATTTAGTGTCCCCCATTTGCCCATGGGTGTACGCTGCTGACGTGAGCAAATGCAAAGACTGGTAGTTTTCCGCGCGCGCTTGTTGTTTCTGGTCACGTTAGCTAACGGTTTAAAATCTCTCAATACATAAACACCGGCAAATAATAAAATAAAAATACCTAGGAAACAAAAATTGATATTACAGTTATTAAATTAATTTTAAAATAACTCAACAATGAGATATTGCATTAGTTACAAACTTTTAAGCTTTGCCTTAAAGAGGGACAATGATTTGTTGTTTTTAATGTAGTAATATTAATTCCTTGCAGTTATCTCTTGAATTTCCACCCAAACCAAAATATTTAGCAGGGGTAGGTGTTACGTATTTCATTCTATCATTCTTTGTCAAAAGAGGTGGAGTCCAAAATAATTTTTACAGATGTAGTGAGAATTATATCCTGACTTCATTAAAATTTATTCAGGATTGAATTGCCCATTTGTGCCAATTTTCCACAAAGCCAAACTCCCCCCAAACTTCCTCAGTAAAGGAAACTGCACCTGATCAGTTTTGCTTTGATCAAATTTTTTAAATACCCAACATTTAGCAAAAATGTAATTATGAAGATTTAATACAAATTTTTAATTAAAGTAAAGTTGGATCTTGAGCAGAAACTTTCTACTTGAACCTTCTTCATCACCACAGACTTCAGGGTTAGTACTTAGTTTTTTTGGTGACTTTGAGAAATGGACAGCAGTTGGTGAACCAGCAGAGAGGGTTCTTTCTTTTTCATCACCATATATACTTCTCTCAGAATTTTCTTCTTCAAGTATGGGGACACAACAAAGAGTACTCTAATTGCTGGGAGAATACCACCTCTAATTGACAGGATTAACACTTCATACAGTGGAATGCCATCAAAACCCAAAACTAGAAACAATCAAATAGAACATCCAGTAAATTATGTTATTATTCAATATGTCTTCTCTTAATTTGACAGCACTTTGAATTGAAACACATACTCTTACTCGCCAAATATTAATATTTGACTATTTGTTTATAACATTACTCACTAGCGTGTAATTTCTCCTCATAATTTCAATTTATTCTTCAAGAAACATGTCATGAGAATAAAAAGGTTTATCAGCTAGAGAGTGTCACCTTGAAATCACCTTTAGTTACTGGTTTACAGGGAATATTTACCAGCTATGGAAAAATATTTAATAAATAAAATTTTGGGAGTTGAGAGAATGCATTAAAAAAATTTTGTAAATTGGGAATTAATGATGTATAAGAATTTGACCAAATAACATATTCACCTTTTATAGAAAAAGTATGCCTCAAAAATCATATAGTTTTTATCTCCACCATCAAAAAGTACATTAAAAAAAATAGCATCTTCATGTTGATCTAGAGAAAATTCACTCACTATGGGACCTCTTGTAGAACACTGAGAAGATATTAATGGCTATTAATTTTTTGACAGTGTAAAATAAGGGAAGTGACTAAGGGAAGTGGCCAATATCAAATGCATCTATCTGAAAGAATAACAATTATTTCAAAACTCCATATCAATGCCAGCAAGATTCAAGGATGGTAGATTACCTCCCAAAATAAGTATCAAACAACATGTACTAATCAAAATCATTGGTGGTGATGATGGTGCTAGTTCTTCAACTGAAAATAATTCAACCAATTTATTTCATCTCTCATTTAGTATTGTGCACTATGATTAGACAATTAAAAGGGCCTTATTTCACTATATGGCTCACTACATTCAAAAGTTTGTTATACTTTCCTATTTGATTTGCACTCAGGGATATAATCAATAACTTCAGTTATTAACCAAGATTGTGGTCTGTACAGAACCTTGTTTTTTCCACTAAGCTTTTATGGCCCACACGCTTTGTGTTGGGGGAAAACACTTGGTCTGTAACTTAGCATACAGTCCAGATATCAAACTCAGACAGTATACAGGTGCCAGTGAGTCAGAAGAGCACTTAATATTTGTACACCGCAGAGAAGAAATGCTAAGTTAAAGCTATTTTCATCAACCAATACATTAATCTATATAAGAATTGGCTAACCTTTAGCATCTAAGGTAATACAAACAATTGCTCTGACTGGTGGATTCAGAAGGCTTCAGATTTACTCATCAAAGACTAAGTTTTTCTCAGTAATGCGTACTTTTAAATGCGTCAGAAAATAGAGACAAACGCCCAACCAACATCTCATTAAATTCCATAAATTTTTCTTTTCATATAAAGTTTATAGACACAAGGAACTAACTTTCAAATTTTGTTTGGCAGTCAGAGAATGTGGAGGTATAAATAAGAAGTATGACTCACATGTAAATTGCATAATTTGTGGTTCTATATTACTTACTAGGGTAATGTCATTTAATTAGGACCTCTGGTACAAGAGCATATGTACGGTTTTTCATCAGATCAACTTTTGGTTTCATACCTTGGAAAGGATGAAATGTCGAATAAGGGCAAATATGATTGTGCTTGCAAGTCCTGACAGTAATGGTGATATGAACCAAGATGCAGCTACAAATAGAAAACAATTCATTAGCCATAACTTATTTGCATAAATTAGAAGTTGTCAACAACACTCAACTGAGACTGTTAAAAAATACCCTTGAATTTCTCTATCAAATTTTTACTTTATTAATATGCATACGTGTATTGAAGATTTTAAAATCAATGTTACATTGATGGGTAACTGTTGTATTTAAAGTTTACATAATCAATTTAAAAAATAATCTAGTTTGATATGCTGTATTTTTTATATATCTATGATATCATTTTATCCTCCACAACTGCAGCCAAGACTGATGGATTGCTTCAGGCTAAAAACACTCAGCACTAAGTCCAAAAGTCTTCCACTTGACTCCTGCAAGCCCATGTGCTACAAATGCATAACTCATGGTGGCACCAACAACACTGTGGGTCCCTCACACAGACAGGTTAAAAAATATTGCAACTATCAGCCATATTCCTGTATCACTGAGAGCACTCAGCGAGCCTATCATAGCAAGTTGTTCAGTACCATCATAGTTAGTAGAGGAGACTGGGTCTCCTCTACTAACTATGGTACCATTAAAGGAGCCTATCATAGCCAGTTGTTCAGTACCATTAAAGGAGCCTATCATAGCCAGTTGTTCAGTACCATTAAAGGAGTTTATATCAATGATTCCTTTCCTTACTGTGTCTATAAACAAGAAAAACAAAAACTTCAATGTTCATTTTCCTTCTACAAATTGTTCTGAAGGATAACATCGATGAGTTATCATTTCTAGAAAATTATACTTAATCTAGTAAACTTATAAACAACAGACTTTGCTTTTTGTGATTTTGTAAATTAGACTATTAGATTACCACTGCCTCCCAGTTAGCTCAATGGATAGAGCGCTGCACTATTGTGCAGGAAGTCGAGGGTTCGAAACCCGACCGGACCAACACTCAAGGTCTTAAAATAATTGAGAAGAATATGCTACCTTTCTATAATATCAACAAATGGTTAGATATTCTAGTGTTCTCGGATAGGGACGAATAAATGGAGGTCCCGTCTCCTGCAGGGTAAGGGGTAGGAGATTTCCCACGCACAAGATTACTATGCAGGTCCACATCAGGACGTAATGTCTTGCCTACCCCTCAACCTGCTTTATTAAATAAACTATGATGATGATGATGATGATGATGTGATGATCTTCTGCCCTCGAAGTAAAGCTTTTGTTAGGATATCTCTAAAACTTTCTTTAGCGATGTGATAATAATAATTAGTTCGATGTCATTTCCACATCTTTATGTTCTTGAGGTTTGACAAAGCCGGATAAGATTGTGTTACAAAAGGCAATAATTTTCTTCCGTGCGCGCACTGTTTTCTTTGTTTTTGAATATATATGCTCCCCAGCAGAAAATAACTTCAGAGATATGTTCTCATTGTAAGTCTTGGAACGCGCAGGTAGATGAATCACTGCTTAAACTATGGCACTATCAAAAGAATGTGCCGCAGTATTACTATCTTTTAGATAGTGCTTTATTCAAACACTTTGCCGCGAGGTGATAATAATGTCGGAAAATTCAATGTAACGTTTTCACTGTTACGCATCGAGAGAAAGAAATTCAGTGAATAAGGTTCGGAAATTGCATTGTCATAGGAGATAGGAGATAGGTTAAGGAAGCACTTCTCCATGTTTTAGGTTTCTTAGTTTTTCCAAACTTAAGATATTCATCGAAATGTTTCGCTCAAATTTACAGAGTCCAGTGTGGAACCGCCATGTTGGTGGATATCTTTTGTCCACCAACCGTGATAGCGGCCGGAAATAGTGTAGAACATCTGGAACTAACTTTGGCCATCTAGCCCACTGATCATCTAGACTGAACCAACAAATATGTACATAAGGAGTGTTTTTTTCTTTTGGTGCTGGAACTACATGTATACGAACAAAGAGTTTTTTACATTACTTGAAGTCCGCGTGCCTGGTCATTTTGAAAAACGTCTTGTATCGGAGGGGAGTGGTTTATCAAAAGTCTTTGTTCCCAATGTAATTCAGAAAGGAGTGTTGTGCAGCTTTTAGGTGAGCGAACTGTTGTGCGAATTGTGCTCTGTTTTTCGGAGAGGCAACGTTTCGTTGACGGCTCCAGTATTGAACTGAATGTTGCCAATTTAACCATTTTTATTCGTGCGCAGGGATTAACCAGATAGCTACGAAGGTCAATAAGTACCAACTAACCTCCAATGAATATGGCAAAGAAAAACGATAATCGACTTCAGAATTTTACTACAAATAGTTATCATCCCCTCTGGCCTGCACAGGACTACGAGCATTGATTTTTTTTCTCTGTGCTTTTAATCGTTGGGGTCGTCTGCCAAATGCGGGTGGTGGCCTTTATCAGCACGTGAACTTTGCTTAATCTCATCATAATTTGACTTCCCGACAGAACATGAAACGTTTTTTGATTGACGTAATTCCCGAAGACAAATTGTGCTACTTTTAGATGCCAAATTGCGCAATGCTTTTCCAATCTAGGAAGGCCCTGTTTTTGCTGAGAGCTCCTCAAGTCATAGAAAGACTTAGGGAAAATGTCGCGCATAAGTGTTTGCAAAAAGGATGGATACTGGAAAATTGTCACTTCAAGCATGTTTATTTGTGCGCAGGCTATGAACTCGTAAGCTGTGGTGATTTAATAGGGTTTAAACGGTTGGTTAAAAGGCGAAGAAAAGAGGACGATGAAAAACAGAAGTGTGGAATTCAAATCTGCTTTGCCTATTAATAATCCAGCGTGGTCTTATACGCCGGTAAACTGATAAAAAGTGAGGTTTATTGCTTGCTCAAGGATGCAGTAGACTTTCAAGGACCTATTTTTTTGGCATCTTTTCTTTTCATGCCAAACTAAGCCTTCTTATTCTAGCAATAGTCTCAAGATAACGTTTTGGTAAAATATGAAAAACACGCGAGTTGTTGACAAAAACGTATTGTTCGACTGAAGTGAATTCTTTAGCCCGCCAATGCGTGAAAAGCTAATTGTAACCTGTGAACATAAATGACTCCCCCAGGTTTTCTTCTTTTCATTCGGGTCCTTAAATTTCAATCGCGTAAACATCTCCCGATATCAGTTCCACGTGGAGATCTGTGCTATCTTAAATATATTTCTGCTGACAGTCTCGTGAGACTGTGTAGGACGCTTTGAGTTATTCAGAGTGCTAACTTGACATGTGGTCACCCAAAGGCGTGATTTATTGGGAAAAATTTGCAGGTAAAAAACGATTTCGTTTTCATGCGAATGTGCCTTCTTTGAACGAATTAATGGGGTATGTATTGTCCAGAAGTGTTTTTTGTGCAGTCAGATTTGATACGTGATTTATTCGCTCAAAGACGCATCGTCCATCATTTCAAGCTGAAAGATCAAGCTGAAACGAAACGATTTTAATTAGACGTCAAATATATTTATGGAATATTAATAAAACAGCCGATTTCGTTGGCTTGACTTCGGGAGCGAAGATTAAAAAGGTTGTCCATGTTGACATCGGCTGCAGGTACGTTCGTGGCTGACCAGACCGATGCGGGAAAGGCAGATCCGCGGGCAGTATCTGCAGAGTAAGGTGGTGTCAGGAGTGAAGGTGCAGGCGGCGCGGGCTTTCCTCCTCTGACGCTTGTCTTTAAATACCTCACGTCTATCCTTCTCAAATTGAGCAGTGGCTTGGTTGATTGTGTGGCACCAGGTACCACGGTCTGTAGCCAGGTCAGACCACTCTTTGGGGTCGATGTTGCAGGAGCTGAGTGACTTCTTTAGGCTGTCCTTGAACCTCTTCTTTGGAGCCCGTCTCTCACGATGTACAGTTGAGAGTTCACCGTACATGACAATCTTAGGTAGGCGGTGGTCTTCCATTCGGGAAACATGACCAGCCCAACGGAGCTGGTACCTCAGGATCATGGCTTCAATGCTGGGAATCTCGGCCTGCTCGAGGACTCCGACATTGGTGTTGAAGTCAC